TGACCAGATTCAGAGTCGTAAGATAAAACAACATTTTCTGTTGCCATCTCTTATAATCCACTCCCGTGAATTTTTCCGATTTCTCCCCGTGAGCATTGTTAGGGGGTACGATAGATGTACTAGGGGGTACAACAGACATACTACTACTTGCCATTATCATTTTAAGATTGTTGAGAAATATAGGCAAATAATAATGTATGTATATTTGGGTAGAGTAATGACGTTTGGGTGGTTTTGAATGGTCGAGGCAAGAGTTCGACTCTTTCTCCTTAAAACGATAATGCCCCGCACTGGTACTGACGGTATTGCAGAACTCGTTTTCCAAGATACAATGACCTCATCTTGTAATAATAGTACTCCAAATTACAAAATCCGACGAACCCGTAAAGTTTAGATCTCTCCACACACACTGGATGTAAAATGCACGAAAAATAATTTTCGAGGACTGAATTATAAAAGCGGAAATGATGCAGGGACAAATGGATTTTGGTATGAATTAAAACCGGGGTATGGGGGCCTATATATAGATGTTGAAAGGTTGTGTCCCAACAGACACAACTATTGAAAAGTTGTGTCCAAAAGATACAAACAGTTTGGACAATCAACTGCCACAACCCGTCAAATTCTAGAAGCACCGCACCACGTGTCACACACAAAAAATTTGGGGAAAAAATAATAACATAAAATATATTATTATTACAATAATAAAATAATATAATTCAAATGTTATTTTACCAAAAAATATTTATCAGCTTGACCCAAGCCCAAGACCTACGACTCGTGACCGGCCGGTCGAACGAACGGCGGCGACGGCGCGCGCGTGGGCTTTGACTTAACCTACTAGCATGTAGGTTCTCTCTCCCTCAAAAACTATTGGTACCCCTTGGGGCCCAAACCCAAGTCCCAAACTTGAGCTATATAAGGTGATTTATATTCTTCTAGTTTTCCTATGTGGGATTGGTATTTTCCAATTTTCCACCTATTTTATTTCAACATCAAGTGGGCATCTTTTGGCCTTAATTTCTCATTCACCCTAAATTGGTTTTGAGAAAATAAATATACCATATTAATCTACTCATGGAGTAGAACACATTCGGCCAAAGAAATCTTATATCTGATTAACGAGACCCACTAAATTAATTGGTCAAAAGTTGGTCAAACCAACTAATTAACCCAATTTATCCAACAATCCCCCACATGAATGAAAATTAATGCAATAGACTATGCAGACCCTATAGAGAGATCAGGCGGAATGTTATATCATCTGGATAGGTATCTTATGGGTTTGAACCTTCCGTAGTAGAATAATATCCAATGCAATTGAAATAATACTGAAAGCTTTAAAGAAGAAATACCAGACTGAGGTGCTGTGCTGTGTAGGGATTTTTTATCCCAATCACCATGATAATAGAACAAGATCACAGAAGAAGTGCAGGAGATAAAAGGAACATTTCAACAAACATAAGAAAATAGTCGACAACATTTGACAGTAGCTGTTCTCGTAACTACGGTTGTGCTGCCTAGGACATTGACATTGCAAGTCGTACAGCAGAAATGAGGGCCTGAACCGAGGCACGCCAATTTTATCAGGAAAAAACTTTTTAAAGTTTTCATAATAACAGATACATTAGCTCTAGTTGCGTCTAATGCTGTATCTCTCTGCCTCATTGGTTCTTTGGAAATGTGAAGCTTGTGCGCCTGTATATCAATGCCTTAAATGACGTATCAATGCCTTAAATGATGAGTTTTAAAGACTGAGGCTCAAACAAGGGATAAGTTTTTAAGCGGACAATGAGTAGTACCTAGATAATTATTTGCAACTTTATGTTGTCATTGGGAAGGGACTGGTTCCTTGAAAACCAGTAATTTGGGAGGTTTATAGTTTTCTTGGGGAGACCTAATAATTTTCTCTACTCATTTCTATATTTTTCTTCGTTCTTTGAGAACAATTCGTATTCATAACAGAGTGAATATCCCAACAGATTACACGGCAACTTATGATTTCAATGGAAGATAACACTGACAATCAGCATTTTAACAAATGCAACTAGTAGGTTTAGTACATCATCTTACGGATTTTAATGGAAAATTAAGAACTTCTATCAGATTAGGGTACTTTTGGCAATTAAATATGGCATAATACAAAGATACAAAGAATGCCCAACGGAGTAAGCATAAAACAGAATTCTCACATCAACTTACAAATCTTTAACAAACTCCTATTAAATGTCCTTTTCACTGAGTAGTAGAATTAGATATGGCAATTTGAACCGTCAAAATCGAAAACCGCGGTTAACCGAACCGAATGGAGAGAAAAAAATCAAACTGATGGTGCAATGAGGCGGATATGGTTTTGATTTTAATGGACCGGTTTGTAATGGTGCGGGTATGGTATTTACGTCGTCGAATCGAAACCGAACAGATTACCCGCTAAAAAAAATCAAAAAAAAAAAACACAATTGAATTGATTATGGGCTTTACACTACTTTTCTATCCAGACCAAAACAAAATCCCTCCCCTCCTCATTATATCTACCAGACTCATTCGACTAGCCCACTTACCATTAGCCCATAATAGCATTAGTATGACAGTATATAAATACAAACCCTACTCTCCACAAACCACAAACTCACGCACGGCTCCACTGCCTCTACGATCCAAGTCGTCGTCCCCTCCGAAAATTTGTTACATTTGTTAGCTATTCTATTACTGTTGATCATGTAAAAACAGAGTTCGATGTTTTTCTAGACATGCCAGTATTGTCAAGGATGAATAGGAATCAACTTTGAAAGCTGATCTATGCTAACAAGACTTGTAGGAAAGAATGAATCAAGTAACTTCGATGCACAACAATTAAGAATGAAGGAAAAGTTTAGTATTATTATATTTATAATATTGTTTGTTAAATTTGTATTTCACAATTGAAAATTAGGATAATGTTTGCATTTACGTTTGGAATATTGTTTGATAATGTTTGCATTTTCGTTTGGAATATTATGTTTTTATTTTCATTGACTTTTTTCATAAATTGTTTTGTATTAATTTGAAGGATGAACCTATAAAAAATAATTTATTTTCGTGGTTATTAACCGAACCGAACCGTGCCGAACCAAGACACAAATCGAATCGAACCGAACCGAACCGATTTACGTGGTTATGGTGCGGTTATGATATAGTCAAAAAATTGATGGTGCGGTTATGTTTTGGCCGAACCGTTGCCAACCCTAACTAGAAAACAGCAAAGCAGAAGCTGCAAATGACACATTCTATGATCGCAAGTTCCTGTGAATGTTCTAGTGAACTCTAGTTATTAGAATAACAATTCAAATAAATAACAAATCTTGCCATAAATAAAATTCATTAATCATATTAAAAGTGTTTACAACCTAAATCGATTAGACATAGGACATAACACTTACACATGGTACAAATCAAAACGAATTTTTTTTTATAAAAATTACTAATTTTTTTCCAGTTTAGGTTAGGATCCTTTAGCATTTCAAAATACTCGGCAAATAACGAACTTAAGCCAGATGAACTTCTCATCCCGGAGTAGTACAAAAACGGAAAGCTGAAGCTGCAAATGACACATTCTATGATTGCAAGTTTTGGTGAATGTTCTAACACCGCGTACAACCCGGTCATGAAAGCAATTACCATCGCCTCCATGGCAAGACTAACAAGCACTTCAGCAGCCATATACACGCCCCTAAGCCTCAACTTGTTAGTTAAAATGGCTCCTTTGAAGTAGAGACAAACAGCAGAAACAGAGCAAACCATAGCTAATGCATCTGTTATAATGAATGCTTTAAAAGCCGCTTTTCTTGATAAAACTGCCAGGCCTTCTTTTGGGCCATCATTTCCGCCATGTTCACCAGGAATGGTGAATCCAGCAGCAAATGCAACTGTTATTATGAGACTAGCCACTATTATATGAGTGTCAGCTACTTTTCAAGATCTATCTTCTTCTGCAATTGCAAACTATTTTGACAAATCGCACCTTTTGCTTTTAATTCCTCAATTAAGGCATCCTGAATTGTGTAAAACAAAGGACTTGAATCAGAGACAAAAAAGATAAAGTGGGGGGGGGGGTGTTATTATCCATGAGCGGCACTGGGGTAGACACTTTTGTTAGACACTTATGGTATCCTCATTTTCCATCAAGATATGTTTGGTACACATAATATAGACAAGATTTTAACTTATTTTTCTTCTTTAATACTGTACTGAACTGTAGTTTTCCTAAAACCAATAACAGGAAAAGAAGGTATTTGCCCTAAGTCGTTTCAATTTCAAGTATCATCACTTATTTTAGAAAACTAGCTACTTCGACTTGGCACATTATAATGATAAGAGGATAATAACACATTCCCTTAGCACCCTTCAAATTGTTTTTCCACGTTGTATAAGATATAAAGTGAAAGTTAAGTGGTTTCGTTCAGAAAATCAAAAATCAAAAAACCTAGAACCTTGAAAGGAGATTATCTTTACCTTTCTTGCTGAATAAACATCGGAACACATTATCACATCAAGAGGCGTCATATTTTTCTTGTTCACAGCATTCTTCTCTGCTTGTGGATGGTTTACAAGATCACAGCCATGGAAGTTGGGAGTTGCAGCATATACATGGAGGGGTGTGTTTCCCTCTGCATCTTTTTGGTTAATGATGTTGCCAACCCATTATTTTTTCATGATAAATTTGAATGCTTCTTGTTTTTTGAATTCCACCGAAAGGTGTAGAATATTTCGGCCATCGGTATTAACCATCTCCCAGCAATAAGGACAATATGCTAAAATATCTTCCATTATCTTTACGTTCCCCTGACAAGTTGCTATATGAAGAGCTGTCTTATTGTTATCTTTTTCTGCAACCATGTACGCTATTGATTTATCAGCCTTTAATAGTTCGTCTGCTACTTCATTGGATCCATATAGTGCAGCATAATGGATAGCACTCCATCCGCGATCATCTACTTTCGTTATTATAGTTGGATGTTTTTTCAACAACTTTTCTGAGATTCCTGCATTCATCAAATTTTGAGTGAGCATTAGGCACTAGCCGGAGTGCAATAAAACAGTTCTCCTGCAGAAAAAAGCATGTACTAGAAAGATGAACACAAACATATACCAAAAGACTCTTAATTTTATGTTGATTCAAGAGAATACCATAGAATTTGGCAACAGAGCTCACTGATTCACAATGAATACCAAGAACCGGAGAAAAAATAAACTCAAAGAGTACACAATAATCTATTTTGGCCAACTAGAAAGTGGTTGATTCATACAATGAAACCAAAATCCAAATCGGAGAAAACTCAAAATTTCCATAACAAAATCTTATTGAAGAGAGAAATCAAAAAGTTACCATCAAAGTAATTCCTAAATCAAGGAAAAAAATAATTGAAAAAGTATTTTAATGGAAGTTGGAGTATTGACTAAGACTACCCTAAAAATTCGCCTTCCATATTACGTGACATAGTCCAATTCCCTTCAACCTATATTAAGCTTCAAGAGCATCTTCTTCTTAAAGAACAAAGAATTGCTGCTAATAAAATTGAAAACTTACCTTTCCAATTATATGAAGCCACAGCATGCAAAGCAGTTCTCCCTTCCGGCCCAGTGTAAACCGGTGAGGGGCAATTTTCCATTTTGAGTTACCAATATAAAACGCGATTCTGACCACCCGGGATGCTACCGACTTCAAGAAAATGTGGGGTTTCCAGTGCATTATTCGCTATATTTGCAATTTCGGGGTCTTTTTGTATCAACAAACAGACCATATCTGGCTGATTATTCTTTATAGCTTCATGCAGTGCAGTGTCCCCATTTCCATTTTTCCATGTTAGCAGCTTTTTCAGTGCTTCGCCTCCAGCTTCAAGCTCTCCATCTAATCTCTCTGCAATTTCCATCATCGGTTTCCCGACATTCATCTTGCCATTTCTTGTGGCAATGTGGAGCGCGTTCTCACCATCTGAATTCACTTCATAGAGTAAGGATTCATTTTTCCCGAGGATTACTAAAGCGCATTCGCCGGAGTTGTTGCACTGGGCAACAACATGAAGTAAAGTATTCTTTTTTGGCGTCAATTTAGTGGTGCCGATAAGTTCCATCGTTTCTCTTAGGGCATTAAGATTGCCCTCTTGTGCAGCTCTATACAAACTAGAATCCATTGAGATTGTCATCTAGTTTGGTAGCACACGCAATGTGGAGCGCGTTCTCACCATCTGAATTCACTTCATAGAGTAAGGATTCATTTTTCCCGAGGATTACTAAAGCGCATTCGCCGGAGTTGTTGCACTGGGCAACAACATGAAGTAAAGTATTCTTTTTTGGCGTCAATTTAGTGGTGCCGATAAGTTCCATCGTTTCTCTTAGGGCATTAAGATTGCCCTCTTGTGCAGCTCTATACAAACTAGAATCCATTGAGATTGTCATCTAGTTTGGTAGCACACGAATGCATTCCCCCCCCCCCTTAAAAAAAAAAAAAAAAAAAAAATTATGTGCAGGGTTGCAAGTGAACTTAGTGCATTTATAGATCATCTTTCGGAATTATTCAGATTTAACCTTTATTCGAGGCACTCACCTACCACGGCCTACCACATTCACGTGCCACTCCTACTTGTGTTATGAATGCGTCCAGCCTATCATATTGACTCCAGGTACCAAGGAATAAAACCAGCTAATATTCAAAAGAGAGTGCAATTATTCCGTTAGTGATACTTGGCCCACTTTTTCTTACAATTCTCAACACCGCCTCAGGCCCTCAAGTTGAGTTTACTTTAAAGAGCAAAGATGCCCCCCAAGGACATATCCTATTAGTGCAAAGGACAAAAATTCAACCTTGTTGACAATTGCAATGTAAAGATTCGATTCCTGAAATATAAATTGAAACTCTTTTTGAACACCAGTATACAGACAGTTCTTGTTCTCTGACCTGCTGGAACACATCCAGCAAATAACCTCTCTCACAATGCTCCAGAAACGAAACGGTGGAGGACTCTTAAGGCTGAGGCTCAACATTTTACTTTATAGAGCAAAGATTCATTTGTACTTAGGATTTCTAAGGTACATTCTGAGTTCGTCATTGAAATGTGCAACAACATGGAGTATTTTTGTTCAGCGTCAACCGGGTGCTGAAAAGTTGCTTCTTTTCTCACAGTGCATTAAGATGTCTCTCTTGTGCAGATACAAAGTAGGATCATTAGGCCCCGTTTGGCCCCCATTTTCGGAAAATGAAAATGGGAGATAATATTTTTTTGAAAAATGAGTGGGCGAAAAAAAAGAAAGAGTTTTCGATTGACGTGTAATATTATTTTATAGAAGATAATGTACTGCAAAGGTATGAATAGTTATTTATTCTGCATTTGAGCATCTAATATGTAGAGAAACCACGGAAACAAATTTATGTTAAGCTGGAAAATCATAATGGAGGCCAAACTACCACAGCCACTTTCCATTGAACTTACTAATTAAATTCAAGCAGTTTTTACAAAAGAATAGATGGGAAAAGTAACTAAAAACAAATATTATCTTAACATGCAACATAAATCAATAGAAATATCAGAAATCTAATGGGGGCAAGAACTATACAATGCACAAAAAGTCACGTGTAGTAAAGCCTACAACCAAACACTTATATGAGTTTGCATAGAATGAGGGGGAGAGAACAGAACATGTAAATTACATGCGAAAATGAGAGCTACATAAATTACACGGGGTAAGTTTTCCCGATTCAGGATTCACCAAATTGCCTCTCCTGGATGATCTGCTCGAGCTTCATGAACAAAGCTCGTTGCTCCTCAAACGTAAGATTCATCAATATCTACAGGAAAGAAAAAGTTAATATAAACTCATTTTCACGTGTTCAAGTCAGAAAATCTTCATCTTGTGCTATCTACCTGATCCATAATAGCCTCAATCGATACACTTTGAGATACGATAAATGACTGGTGGTAGATAAACGCAAACACGCCCATCACCATCTACACACAAATGACCAGTTAACCACAGCACAAACATTAAAGTTTGACAATAATTACATTAGAAACCCATTGCAAAAGAAGGTATTTTATCGTGTACAATCAAGATCAGGTAAATGTTTAAAAGGCTTCTAAACAACAAAAAGAAGAAAATAAATAACCAAGTGTGGTCGGTGGAGAAGATAACAGAGAAACTCAAATGTGCTTTTCATTCTAATCCATAGTACTATCTTTGCAAACTGAGAGGAACAGGATTCGACTTCTCTTAGTTTTCTTTGCCTCAGTAAACTAATCAGTCTTTCAGCTTCAAAAGGGTGTATTGGTGAACTTCCTCCTCCTTGATCAACCTATTGAGGCACAGTCGGTGAAGTTCTCCCACACCCAAAGAACAATTGTTCAACTTTTCTCCCCTCAAGACCGAAGAAGCAAGAGCACTACCAGAATGTGACATTTGTGTCCATACGAGAAGCAGGACATTTTGTTCCCAGATCACATCCTGAGTGAGCACTTGACTTGTTCTCCTCCTTAGAGGGACAGCTTCTTCCAGCACAGAGCAAATCTTGAGACGAGATATAAGTGATTTTTGTTCTTATTGTATTGATAAAGTCTAATTCAGCAGATTGCATCAAAATAAAGGAATTTAAATTTACAATGAAAAGTTGAAATTTAAATATTAAAAAAAAAAACCCACACACACAAGAATCATGCATGTGAAGGCATCAAAATGGATACTTACACTAAGTTTTTCAAATAAAAAGAATCTCCTGAAAGATGTTCAAGGTAAAAAAGTACGGATCACATGTACAGTAACCCAAAAACGGGGGTACCGAATTTGGAACAGTCAACTCGCCAGCAGATAGTTATGACAAGGAATGCATCTTCATCCTCATTTTAGATTTATATTCTCTAGCACGTAGGATTATGGAGACTTTTTTCCTTTTTTAAATCGAAATTATTATTAGTTATCCAGGAATCTAAATTATGTTCCAAAATAACAAAACGCAAGTAAGAAGTAGCAATTCACCACCTTGTACCTCTAAATGAAATCAGTGCATAATGACCTAGCATTTTGCAGTAAGAAAGATCTCCAAAAGAAATTTAGAAGAAAATAATAGAAAATGCAAAATGATTATAGGTACTACACAAATATCAAACATTTGAAGTTCATCTAAATACATTTGAACCACACAATCGCCATCTTTATGATCCTGATCCACAAGATATAATATACATCATTGTTATGCAGAGTATCAACCATGTTTTGAGATCATATTTTTTCCAAAGAATGAGATAATTAACAAAAACAATGCATTGATGCATCAGACCAAGGATGTATGGAAGGAGGTAAGTTCTAGGTGTAACCATGCCTTGTTATTAATATCTTAATCTTCATTCAAACTCACCTGGCAATCCATTCTATCAGTGATTCCACCATGTCCAGGAATACTATCACCAAAATCCTACAGCAAAGAGAAAATATTGAAGAATGGGTAGTACAATGGTACAAGAGCTTTAACACATGGGTTGAAATTCCACAGAAACTGAATTTTAAAAAATAAAAAAATAACAATAATTAACCCAGATTTATGAGCTTAGCTCCAGTTTAAAAAAATTAATACCATCAGACCTTGATCTTGAAAGCTCTTTTAAAGCCACTTGCGAAAAAGCCTCCGAAAGGTGCTATAATTGATGAAAAGAGACCAAGCGCCAAGGCATGCCACTGTACTGGTAAAACAGAGATCTCTCTCCAAGGGAACTGCCAAAACAACCAAGAATCACCACACTAAATGAACAGATTTTGAAAAATGAAATTCAATAAAAATGCAAAATTACTAAACAGAAATTTAAGAACACTGGCAGTCTTTGATGTTACAAAATTTCTAATAAGCCTTTTAACTCAAAAAAAATAATAATAATAATAAATAATAAATAATTAAAAATAATAAATAATAATAATAATAATAATATATTCCTTACTACATTTAGGATTAATTCAATCGAGCACAACCATAATGTACTACAGTCGAGGATGAATACAACAATATTCTGGTGTCCATGACCCTTTCACAGAGAAGAAATTTAGTAAGGAAAGAAATTTCATCCTAATTAAAAAATAAAAGAAAGTGGAAAGAAAACTGAGAAAGGAAAACGACTAAATTCCTCCCTCCCTTTCTCATATCCCTCAACAAGTCAACAACCACAGATACTATAGCCACCACGACCCCCACCCGCAAGCACAACATGAAATCCCCACCCCATCTTTACACACCCTGGATTCTCTCTCTTTGTTTTTTTCTTTTTTGTTTTTTGGGGCGTGTGCGTGTGTTGTGGAATAGTTTGCAGTTGAAACATATGTGAACCACATTTTCCCACCCAGCTCTTACTTCAATCAGCACTACCACTGAATGATGTCTGGTTCTATCAATGGTGGAAGAAAGAGAAGAAAATCAGTGAGAGCATATGTGAGATTATTTTGTCAAGATTTAACTTCTCATTTATCATAGCCATCATAGGCCATTTGTTATCCAATTTGTACAAGGAGTTTAGGCAACCTGTTTAGTTAATACTTGTTAGTGAGTTAAAGAAAATAATGCAAGAAATTCTTTTCTTTAAAATTTATGAAAGAACTAACTAGAAGAACAGAAAATTGTGAATCCACTGGTAACACAGGGAAAAAGCGCAAACACCGAAAATGACATTCTGAGATTGGTTTTCAACTTATATTGTCCCAATGGAGAGAAGAACTTATGATTTCTTTTCGGGAAATTTCCAAAAAAAACTTTCAATTTCTTTTTTACTATGTTCAACTCTATGTATTCCTCCATTTGTAGAGTACATTGACTGTACAAAAATGGCTATAATAAAGTTTATCTTATTTGTATCAATATCTACTCTAGGAGGAACTTCTAGTGCAATGCTAATGATTTAATAACTATCTTCATGGCTACCAGAATGTTTTAGTTTATGCTCCTACCTATTACCAGAATATATCAAGAAGGATGTAAATTCTAATTAGGTTACTATGGAACATTTACTCACGGGTGGGGGCAAGCTCTTTTATTTTGGTTTATGGTTTATCTTGGCTATATAGTTCATTCAAGGGAGAGATCGAGCTTCAAGAAATAGTGAATAGGCTTATCAATACACAAATGTATAACTCCCAAGGAATTTCAATTGTGCTCATGTTCATCACCATGGTTATTAGGTTCAAACTTTCCCATGCCCCTTCTCATCAATGGATTCCTCAAGTATACGAAGAAGTGCAATTCATTCAAAAAATCCAACATCTCTATCTATCTCCGAGATGTTTGGATTTTTTAGAACTCCACGAACATGAAGAGAAATAATATCTTTACTCGGGCCAAGACAACACTTTTACTTGTCAAATAACAATTAAGGTGAAGCAAGGTGTGAAACGATGAATCTCTTTATGATAAATACATCTATTTTTCCAGTTCTTTATCATGAGTAATGTCTATAAATGATCGGACTAATGACGTATACAATTCTTGAATTCTTGATATAGATGCTACAAAGTTGGTTCTTATCCTTCACAGACAAGGAGTGTAATAGGAGCATTTGTCAACATCCAACAATGAGGAATCAAAGCAGTGACATTTATGATTGTCCATGTCCAACTCAAAAACTTTACATTCCTTCCCTTATCTACTTCATCAAGCATGTTGATTAAATTTGTAAAAAATAAATTAGGTGGTGGCTAAGACAGAGAATTGGTTTGAATTATTCGAGTTTCCACAATGGATAAGAGGTTGTAGCATGGAAACTATGAAGCATGAATGTGGAGGGTCGGGCAAGGACAATATGCGGCACAAATACGCCTTGACAATTTTTCAAAAAAGTAGCATATGGACATGTCAGGAACCAAATGATTAAAGAACGATAATATACACATTTAGCCCCTGTTTAGCCTCCATTTTTTGAAATAAAAATGGGTGGAATAGTGTGTTTTTTTTTTTTTTTATGAGTAGTTGAAAAAGAAGGAAAAAATTTCGATTTACGTGAAATATTATTTTATAAAAGATTGTGTGGTTGAAAATAAGGGAGAGAAAAATGAAATGTAATGTGATGGAGGCTCATATATTCATCTTTAATAAAATTATGCCTTCAGTTTTTAGTTTTGATTTTCTATTCTTGCAGGTGATTTTTAATCTTTTGAAGTTGAGGAGCGACAATTCATTTTAATGAGAAATATTCTGTCTGTAAATTGTAAATATTAATATCCATGTATCACAAAGTGCATATATTATATATAAATAAAATTGACATGGATTTCATACATTTTTGCTAACATTATTTTGACTATTTACTCAAATGTTTAAAAAAAATAAAATTTTCCAGAATATTATTTTCCAAAATTTACAACACTGGGCTAATTGAGTTCCTGATGTCAGGGTCTCTTGGGTGTTAGAAATTAAAAGGATATAAACAAATATGCTGGTGCCATATCCCTCACATGTCAAAAATTAAAAAGAACTAAAAAGTAGTACACGACACACGGCATTGAGTCGTGTCCGAGGCATATTAGGGTTGTATCCTCACAAGTTGAAAATTCAAAAAGAATATGAAATAGAGCATACCACGTGGTGACATGTTCCATGCATATCACATTGTTATCCAAATTCAACATGTTTTGGACACAATACTCCACTGTGCTAGTGTCCGTGCTTCACAGAATGGAATCAGGGAATGCAGAGATATGGTAGGGAGAGGAGTAAGCTTTGCTATGGGTATGGGCCGCCAGTTAGGTAAGGTTCAGGAGTGGTATTGACGCTATAAAACGAGTTTCGATTGGTTGATTGTTATGAGATATTGGAGGCATTGGTTCCAATCTCCAAAAGGTAAGGGAAAGGAAAAGTGAGTTGTTATTGAGATTTTCATTTTTGAAGCTTTTTTAACTTTGGGATTTATTTCTCAATAGAACAGTTATTGGCCAAAAAATGGCATATGCATGATCTTCATGTCACCACAACGAAAGAAAATGATTCGACCAAGTAAATGATTATGTGCAATAGAAGTACTTCATTTATTCCTTTGCAAAGCAAGGAAAAAAATTAGTATGGAACGAAGTTAAGAGAATGGAACATAACTTTCAGGAAAGATTCTTTTTACAAAGTTTTAACAAGATAGAAAGGATCAATAGATATATAATTACTAATTATAAATCTTAAAAAACAAGCATCATAACTTGCGATGCATCTTCATGCACAGAAAAGTCAATTTTATCAATACAGAAACTTTTAGAGAAGAAGATGCATGGATAACCCAGGGCAGATAGAAAAACCCATTACCCATTGAGGAAACCATTGAGGGACAGTAAAATAATATGGCTTAAACAGCGGGCCAGGATCACAATGAAGCCAGCCAGTTGATAAATCCTGCATATAACAGATCACTGTATAATTTAAATTCCTCAGAAACAGACATATCAACTAGATATAGAAAAAATGATTATGCATAAGGTACCAAATGTCACCTTTCTAGGACATGTTAACCACTGAAAACGACCCAATATATTTGCAAGCTGCAAAAACAAGTGAAAGTAAATTTATCGCCACAATTTTTAAAAAGCATACTCCTACTGTTATCACAAATGTTAAATTTATTTCCATCTCACTTCTATTTTTCTTAGAAATAAGATGGTTATGTATTAATGATAGGCACCAACAGGGATATCCAACCATACAGGTCTAACCACTGGCAAAGTTCATGCTTAAAGTGTGCTGAACATAATTCCCAATGAACGATTGCACAAAAATAAAGGACCAAAATAGACATTGGTAAGCCAAAGATATAGCCTTGACCACTCAGACCTATTGCCAAATAAATAAGTAGATTGCTCACCACAAATGCGGACACAATAGTTGCAAATGATGCTCCAATAAAGCCCTCCCATGTTTTCTTAGGTGATATCTTGATAAGAGGAGTTCTCCCCAAGAAAAATCCGAAAAAGTAAGCAGCAATATCATTGATGACGATGAGTGATGCTGGAAGAAGGAACCTGCAATATTATTAACCCATGTTCCAAGTTCTTTATTCAAATTCAATTATCTGGATGTAAATGTGATATGCCACGTCAGTCCTTATAACTAATATAAAACAAGTAAAGTAGTAGTTAGCAAAATATAAATAATCAAGCAGCAAAAGAACCTTACATGGCAATTTCAAAAGAGGCTAAACAGCAGCAGAAGAGAATAAATGTTTTTACCTTGGTGACTGGAAAATGAATTTAGTTTATAATATTTTTATCTCAGATAAGATTCACAGTCTATGCACCCAATGGGAGAAAGTAAAACTTGAGACTGGGTATAGCCTATTCTATTGACTAGACCAGTTGCAAACATGTCAGAGTACGGAGAACAAGAGAAGCATAATCTCCCAATATAGTTAAAGTGGTACAAACCATAATGTTAAATAGCACGAATGTAAAGATGCAGTAGACCAACAACTAGTGTTCTAATTAATTAATAAAACCAAATAGAGGCTCAAAGTTATGTTACCAGAATATTCCTTCAAAAATATTTGCCACGGTAAAAGAGGACTGGGTAAAAACCACAATCAGAATCATATGAGTCCAAGCGTATTGTCCAAATTGATACTTATACATCTTCTTCTTTAGTGTCAGAATAAACCACATAAAACCTGCACCCAACAAGATAAGAAAAATTTCAGCTACATTCTTCCAACCTGCCACATGCCGAAGCTTACATTTTATAAGAGAACTCTTATAAATCATAAATTAACATCAAGCATTTTAGAAACAATCAAATATTATAAGCATATTGTACATCATTAGAACTAATTGAAAGAAAGAGTCATGAGAGAGCATAAAAAACACCAGTTTCCCAGCCTGTAATCTAAATATGACAACTTTGGCCAGAGGCTCCTCAGTTAACCACTACATGGAACATCACAAAAAAACAAATAGTACCAACCTGCAATATACAAGAAATAACAAGTAACCATGTGATACTTGATAAATCCAGTGACGAGCTTATGCAAAAATTTATCCGAAGTAACTGTATTCGCAAGCCTCTGATTGAGGATGCGGCCATATACAAACAGCATTGCTGTGAAGAAGAAGTGCCTGAAAGGGAAAGTAACAAATCAGTAGAAACATTAATGATGCATAATATCTAGAGGCACGTCCTCCTAATCAATTACAAGAGTAAATTTCTGAACGTAAAGAGAAAGTAACCTAATCCATAAAATCCAACCACATCTATAAAGCATCGAACTGTGGACATGGACGAATAGCTTAAGATAATAATGCGTGTGTGTGAACGTAAAAGTATGCAGTGAATGCCTCAATGGTGTGTTTGATCTTCATATATTTACGGTCATAAATTGCTAAGAGTGTTGAAAACTATTGACAGAGATATATATCTCGACTTTTCTCTTATAAGTTTCAGTAAAGATGTGTCAAACCAAGAGTCCGGAGCAATGCTTGTGGCAAAGCCCTTTTCTGTACTTAACATTAACAATGCTTTGCATTATGATGTACACAGTCAATTGACCTAAGCGGCCGTATCGACTGTCTGATTAAGATCTTTACCAGAGAACGAATGATACAAAAATAAAAGGTCGTAAGCTAATCTGGATCCATGCTTCTCCATCTCATTAGCTACCTTGCACTGCATGACTCGGTGCAAAAGGTGGAACTATTTGACAGACATGCAAGATGTAAGCAGGGTGCATAAAATAGTTGGTGGACGTGATTTCTCAAAGCAAGATGTGGAGATAAAAACAGTTTAGAACAGAGAACATGACAGAAGTAGATGGAATAAATTGAGCATCAAATTATTATTGTGCCATTGATGTAATTGATGGTCGTAAGCTAATGCTGTATTTACAGTTCTGTACACAATATCAACCGGATTTTATCTTTTACAACTCTCAAAAATTTGAAAGAGTAAAGTTCGTTGAAACAATAACAAAAAATTGCACATGGATACAAAAATCTCTTCTCATGACTCGTTGATATGATTAAAAATGGATGCCAACTAACCTTAGCATAAAGCTGTACATTAAAGTAATCCTGGAGCTTGATAAAATGAAACATGTGCCTAGCATATATAATGTCATTCCAGCATCATGATTCAGAGACTGAATTATAGCATGTTTGGGATGGCATATAAGTGAGATTATGAGTATGTGAGAGTGTCTCAAATATTTTTTCCTCTCATACCTATAAGCACCCACCCAAACATGTTCTTAGTCGACCATAGGCAAATAGATTTTCAAGTCCAGTGATTCTTCTTTAGTTGAACAGTTCAAGAAAAATAATAATATGAGCATGGTTATCAAAGCTTACGAAGAAAATAGAGCAACAAAAAAAGAGGATATATTACGATCTCCAAAGATCTTGAACATGATACTGAACTTCCAGTAAAGGTCATACTGGAACAAGTTTTGTGATGGATTAAAAATTAAACGTAATTCACGCTAAAATGCAAGCTTAGAAAATCTAAAATCTGGCTTGTCACACTCATGAGAAATCTATAAGCACTCCACTAAAACTACTTGCACAGCCTGATTATGAAAGTTATCCAAAGGCCACTGAATATGAAAAATAAAAGCATGGAGTTAAGGGGCTGAGCGCTTACTTACCAATTTAAAAGCCTGAAACCTGGGAGGCGCCTGTCTTCATGTGATCTCCTAAGTAAATTGAATAGCTCTCTTGCCATAAATATTTGGATAACAACTACCATGGCCCAGATATAAAGGTGACCCATGTAGATTATGAAGGCAAAACCTCCAATCATCCAAACAGATGAATATATTCGGATTAACATAGACTTGTATTTGTTTCTATCGTCAACAAGTAAATGGCTTCCATTTGCTTTATCAACTTCAGAAGGAACCTAAAATATTATATATGAAAGGCAATAAGATAAGAGGTTTAACCACATTAAATATTAATCAAAAAAGAGATATTTTGAGTCGAGAATATTTTCAAATAAAAATTTAACAACGAAAAAAAAAAAAGGAAATCCAATATGGACAAATGTCCCTCGCAATTCCTGTTCGCTCAAACGAAAACTAAATTCCTGAAGTTAAGATAAAACATATCAAAAGAAAAGTAACATTTAAATACTCTTCTTCACGTGTTCTGCATCAGTTGATTCCCCAGTAACCAAGTGAAGAAGAACAAGTTCCTTAGCATTTGCTAAGTCAAATAGGAGGGTAAATTTCCCAATAGCTACCTAATATAGGTCTAATGACTGTTGCAATGTGATCGATCTAGTAATGTACAATAGAGCTCTACTTTGATAAACTAATGCCAGATTAATTTAAATTCTCCAAGCCTAAATGAGGCAAGCGTTAGATTCTTTCGTTATGTGTTCTTCGAATTCCTCAAAAGGATGCAAGCAAGTCTTAGCAAAAAAAATTCCATTTGACCATTCCTTTGTGTTTGAGAACAGCATATATAACTTAGGTGTGTGATGCATAAAATCACCTCGAAACAAATAACTGACCTCATTTGAGCCTCTGCGTCGGCGTAACCGCCCAGTAAGACCTCCATGCATTGATGGACCACCAGAATCATTGTCCTTTTGCATTATTACTCCACTGGTTAAACTCCTCTGAAAGTGTTTACATAAATATAAAAAATTTCACGAATTCGCCTGAGAAACCAAGGGCAAACAGTCAAACACTGGAACACTTAGCCCCACTTAAGTCTCTAAGTAATTGGAAGAAATTAACCCAAAATCATAAAAAATGGACTCCCCTCATATTTTTTGTCCTGTTATCATCTCATAATTCAAGAGGTCACAAAGTACAGTTAAAAATAGAAGAATGAAGAGAATACCAACAACCAAAAAGATTACAAATTTTGAAAGTTTCTCCTTGATGTTTCATTCAGATTTTCCTCTGTTAATGTTCCTTTTGGTTCCAATTCAATCAAAGTAAATGTCAGTTCGGGGAAAATCATAAATCAAAACACGAGTTTATTAGAAACAACTAAAAAAGGAAAGGAAAAAGAAGCAACTATCATTAGCAAATTTCAAATCTTTTGTCTGGATTCGTTCAATTAAATTCCCTTAACTTGAAATATCCTTTCGGTTGCCCTAGCATGAACAACAACAGGGGCAGAACCACCTGGGGTCTAGTGGGGCAACTGCCCCCACTGGATTTTGGTCCTGGGTATTTCACCGATAGAAAACCATAAAAAACCATATCAAATATTCAAGAGAAATATTGTTGAAAAAATCCCTGTTGCTAGAGAAAGATTACCATCAAGAAACAACAAATCTGGAAAAATTAAATAAATTATAAGGAGTTGAGTTCAAATTAAATCATTCACGACAAACAAATCGAGCCGATTTCAACATATAAAGCCCGTTTTAACAATAATACAATCCGATACTACCTTCCAAGTTCGGTGATGAAGAAGTTTAGAAGAAATCACTGCAACATAAGATAAATTGGCGCCGGGTTGATGAATATAAGCCCAATTTTTAGTGTAATACCAAGAAAGAAGAAAATTTTAATTGGCAAGCAACTAGGCTGCTCTTCCACTTGCTAAACGGACATGAGAAATTACACATATCCTGATTTTTAATTTCATATTTTAATAGTCAGGTTTCTAAGTATAGAAGTGCCCTTTAAATATAAAATATTCTCCTATTTTAGAGAGTCAATATTTAAAGATAAATTTCAAAAAATCTTTTATTTTAACTTTATAAAATAGAGAGTGCGTTTTCCTCTTTAAATTTAGAGAGTCAAATCCAATCTCTACTCTTAATGTATAATGATTGCATTTAATACATTACAAATTTTAATATTTTACAATTTAAATTTTTCAAATTACATTTAAATTGATTGGTCATTAATATATAAAAATTATATTTAAATAAAATATGTGGAGAAATTATTAAATATTCATTTAGAAAAATAAAATAAATAATCAAAATAGAGAACTTGTTGGAGTGTATAAAAAAATTACTCTCTAAATTTAAAAATGCTCTCAATTATGCATAAGATGTTCTTTATAAATAAAGAGTTTTTATATATATTAAATTTTTGAATAATGCTAAACAAGTTACATCATCATTTACATGTGTTAAAGAAAGATCTTTTTATCCAATTAAAGCAATTCTTATATAAGCATATCTCGCCATATCATGTATGTGTAAACTAGCACAACCATAATTTTTTAATTAAAATATTTAATATAAATTTATTAATTAACAACTAATTAAGCATTACTTAGGGACATTAACATCAATAGTGGAAGAGAGATATTGTTCAAAATTCTCAATTTTCCTTCTTCTCCTACCTAATCTCTTGAGAGATAAGCTCGATACTTTTATTCAAACGATTCCATCACTTTCACTAAAAGAAAGTAGAGATTCAAAGCCTTCATCGATGGTGGAAGTATTGAATCTGCTTTCCTCATTTCATAATTTCATAAATTATTTTATAGTTCATGCTTCTTAAACCCTATCACTTTCACTAAAAGAAAGTAGAGATTCAAAGCCTTCATCGATGGTGGAAGTATTGAATTTGCTTTCCTCATTTCATAATTTCATATATTATTTTATAGTTCAAGCTTCTTAAACCCTAAATCCTTACAAACCCAATTAATGATGGTCAAGGAGTGTAGATCGGTGATCTCATTTGAAGAATGTATACGAGAATGATAAAAGAAAAAGAACGAAATCTCATAAAGAAGCTCATTCATAAAAATCTAAAAGCATCGATTCTGGTGAAAAATATATTTTTAAGAAGGTGAATCAATTTGTTGTTTATTTTTATTTTTTTGTTTAATACAATGTTTATGAAAATTTGAGTTAATAGGTAATTTGGATTCGAATTTTTTCATTGATTCTGATTTTCATTATGCTAATCAGTTTTTCATCGAATTGTTATTCGATTATTACATGGTTGTGATCTAACTTTGTATGGTGACCTCATTTCTTGGTCGTGTTTGATTCGTTCTTCGATTATTTTGTGACTTGACTTTTTCTTAGATCATGACCTAATTATTCTTCAATTATTTGATGATTGTAACCTAGTTTTCTATTGCAATAACGTTTAGTTGTGATTCGAATGTTGTAACCATTGTATAAATAAATCTTTATAGAGATTTACGGAAGACTTTAGAAACATAAAGGAGTATTTTTGAAATTTAGAACAAATAAGATATATCAAAAAGATTTTGTAACTAAATGTCCCATTCAAGAAGATATAAGAAACTTGTAATAGTCGTGTAAAAGTTCATATAAACATATCTACAAAAAATAATATAGAAAAATCTGAACCATAGAACATAATCAATTTTCATCATTCATATAAAGGAGGTGAACTATAAAGATCAATGAGGTCTTATTTGTAATAAAAAATAGAAGTGGGGCACGAGTTAAACACTAAAACTAAGGATTTTAAAAGTATATTATATTTTTGAAATAAACATATATACTATACCCCGACTAAGCCAAAAATTTTGCTCCGCCCTTGAACCCCAAGACATTTTATTTTCTTTCATTTAGGTGTGTTTGATTACATTTATTTTCCATGGAAAATATCAGTTTTCCATCCAAATTTTCACTTAAAGTGTTTGATTACTATTTTTTTCCATGGAAAACATTTTCCAACTTTTGAAAATATGCCTTATTTTCCTTGTTTTTAAGGAAAATATTTTCCTTGGGTAGAGGTGGTTTTTATTTTCCACAAAAGATGGAAAATATTTTCTTTTCTAGGTAATATTTTCCATGTCAATCAAACACACTGTTAATGATTTCAGTGCTTAAAATAATGTTAGAAAAATATACAAGCAGTGAATGGATAATAAGACATCAAAAGCAAGCTAGAAAAATTCCAAAAGTTTAATTTCTTTCTTTATTTATTTTTTTTTTTCAAAATATGGTCCAATATCTTCCATGAGACCGATAATAATGAGGATACTTGGATAAGCAAAATAAGGGTAGCGACGAAAATAAATCATAAGTATTACAAAATATTTATAATAGTCATTCATTAAAAAATTCAAGTAACTTAAACCAAATTGCATTCAAATTTCATTAAAAACTCTATCAGCTAGTAAACCACCAGACTCAAGAACTTAAATGCATATAGACCAATAAATTGCATCGACCAAGAAATTAATATAAATCGAAAACCCAAAAAATTCTTAAAACATTCAAACAAAAATGAGGGATTAGATCCACAATCAAGATGACACGCGTAAGAGTCGAATCAAACATATATAGTAAAAAACGAAAGCAGAATAGAGATATGACCTATCCTTTCTGTATATGTGTGTGCAAAGATGTAAAGAGAAGTGTAAGTTTGAGAGAGGATTTTATATGAAAACGGTGAGTTTTGGTGAAAATTTTGTGAAACTTTGGGGTCAATTATAAATATTTGAAAGATAATGTTTTGGAAAAAGAGGTTGGTTTTTGGGTTTCTAATAAATTAGAGATACAAAGGAATTTAAGATGGTGTTTAAAAGCTTATCAGCGTAATCTTATTTAAATTAATTAATTAATTAATTAAAAAAACACTAAAGTTATTTGTATGAACGTAACCGTTGGTAATGAACATTCAATCATGCTACACAAATAGACTCATTGATTAAAAATAGGGCGGACACGTGGTGCGACAATTTTGGGCCGCCGGGGGGGGGGGGAGGGGGGGAAT